CAGAGCGCCTTTCGCAGACAACATATCGCTACCCATGGAAAGCAACCACTTTGGAGAGGGTAGAACCAAAGTACTCTTCTGACCCTTGTCAAATACATGCAAACGCTCCATGGTGTTGGCCAACTGCGACGCTGGCACGGCCAGAGGTGGAGGTTGGGAGACGATGGTTGTATGCGAGTAATCCATGTTAACTGTCGCGGAAAGAGTATTCTGATCCACCAGGTCAGCGGTCACAGAGAAGAATTGTACAGGTCCTTCGGTTGTCTCGACGGCTACGTCGTATAAATCGGAACTTGTCTGGATGACTTGAACGGTCACTTCGCTTTCTAGGTCTTCGGTCTTGATCTTGATTGTGCGCCTGTACAAGTCACCTCCAAATCGATGCGACGTCAGTGAAGTCCAAGGACTAGACGCAGGTGTTTTTTGGGTGTTTGAATCACGAAGAACGATGAAGAGTGCGGCTTTCGCGAAGACCTCCGGACTTGGTGCCCGCATTGGAGGGAATAGCTCATCGAAATGTTTCTACAGATGAAGACAGTCAGTTTGGAATATACATCATTCAAGAGACAATGTAATGTACCTTAATGAAGCCCGTTTCAACCTCTTCGTCGATGAAAGCTTTATTACCTGCCAGTGTCCTGAGAAATTCCACGTTCGTTGAGACGCCAACTATGTGATATTCATCCAATGCCTTGCGTAAAACACGCAATGCTTCGGTACGATCGCGACCGTGTACCACCACTTTAGCAATCATAGGGTCATAGAAGACTCCAATTGCTGCTCCTTGCTTGAAACCTTGTTCAATACGCAAAGACGGCATGATTTCCAAGGCAGCGCCAGAGGATTCTGAAAGGCCAGAAACCGGACTGACGCTCGATGAGGCAGACCTTTCCACGGGGGGGAATGAAGGTGCGAATATGTGAGTTGGTGTGGGCGTCGACAAATAGTGCAACGTTCCAGAATCGGGTAAGAAATTGTTTCGTGGATTCTCGGCATATATACGGGCTTCGAAGGCGTGTCCAACCATGGGTATCGAATCCTGCGCTAAAGGCAATGGATTGCCAGCAGCGACCTAAAGCACTTGATTTATGTAACTTCAATCGAGGAAGAACTGGACCTACCTCTAGCTGCCATTCCACCAAATCTAAACCTGTTATCATCTCTGTTACTGGATGCTCCACCTGGAGTCGGGTATTCCTATAATCTTTTTTCAGTGCTCCAAACACATTGAATGGGCCAACACACACATTTCCATAAAATAAAATTGAGAGGTATCATTATCAAAAATAAATTCGACAGTGCCTGCACCAACGTAGTTTACAGCCTTTGCTGCAGCGACAGCCTTGGCTCCAAGATCAGCACGGAGCTCTGGCGAAAGGCCAGGAGCAGGCGCCTGAATATAGTTAATTCCAAAAAAGGATATTCATGATTATTTGGAACTTACCTCTTCTATGATTTTTTGGTTTCGTCGTTGCACAGAACAGTCTCTTTCCCAAAGGCTGATTACATTGCCGAGAGTATCTGCAAATACCTGCACTTCCACATGCCGAGGCGTTTCGATATACTTCTCAATGAGAACAGTGTCGTTCCCAAAAGCCTTCAGAGATTCGCGTTTCGCTGAAGACAACGCATCATTGAAGTCTTCAACAGTTGGCGTCGAAACTGTGCGCATCCCTTTTCCGCCGCCTCCATGAATAGCTTTAATGAGAACAGGGAAGCCTAATGGAAAAGAGTTAATATCCGGTTTGAATAGAGCAAAGGTGATGGGAACCTATTTTCTGTGCCTCTGCGAAAAGTAATTCTGGGTTTTGTTGATCTCCATGATACCCTGGCACACAAGGAACACCGGCGCCTTAAAGTAGTGTTGATCAGTCGGACTTCAAAAGGTCGTCCTATTACAACGTACTCAGCATGATGTTCTTGGATTCACTGCAACCTGTCTCAGAATATATAGACAAGTTGATACAAAAAAGAAATCACCTCTTCGACCCCATGCTTACAATGGCGCCTTCAGGGGGTCCTATGAACACAATCCCTTCCTGACCCAGTCGCCTGGAGAAAATGGCATTTTCACTTAAGAACCCATAACTGCCCATAAAATTTGAGATTAGTCGGAAAGTCGGAAAGTCAGTAGGAGCTTACCCTGGATGGACAGCCTTAAATCGAACGATAAGTATCTTGACCATGGTAAATATAAATTCAACTTACTTTAGCACCACTTCGATGGCAAACTTCGATGATCCTGTCCATATTCAGCTGCAAGGAAATTCATTGTTCCGTTTCAGCAAAAATGCACGACACTGACATAGCTCTCCGAAGACGGTGCTGGTCCAATGCAGTAAGCTTCATCAGCCTAAAGGATAAAATCAACAAAGTACTGTTAACATTCGAGATAGATGTACCATCTGAACATGTAGGGAGTTCCTATCCGCTTCGCTGTACACTGCGACTGTCTTTATCCCCAGCTTCTTTGCAGTGCGAATGACACGGCACGCAATTTCGCCCCTATCCATGTCGAGGAGCTTTGAGTGAATGGGATAACCAATTCATCCAGCCTTACCTGTTTGCAATTAAGATCTTGTCAAAATGAGCCAGCCTGGCTGTTCGATCTAGTCGCGTCTGTAGTTCCTCAGGGGTGAAGTACCATACTCACTGAGAGTTTCCGATGCATACCCTCGGCTGAGCAGCCTTTGAGATTTGGAACCAGGGGAGCGATTATTCAAAATAAAACCCGTAGAGTTTCGTGTGTCTGACTTCGTAGTCTGTGCCGATGCTGGACGTGATGCAACTCGTCGCGGACCTGAAATGGCAGCGCGAACAAGAGTACTGGAAAGATGCTTAGAGGCAATAGAACGATTAGTAGTGGGTATCATTCTTGAGAAAATCGAGACTATGTGTTAAGTTGCAGATAGATGGAGGATTTTGAACCGAACCTGTGTATAAGAGAGCGGAAGGAGCTTAGGCACTCTGCGGGGGAAGTTGGTGCTCATACGCGAGATCCGATCACGAGATATCTGTGCTATGGCACGTGATAGTAATTAACACACTCGGGAGTCGGAACTTGGAAGCGCCTTTTCTTTACAAGACAGTGAACAAGACAGCACCGCAGAGATTCTGAAGAAAGCTTGACGGGTCACGGAAGTACATCGGTTGCTCTTGTTATGCATATTAATCAATGGCTGCAGCTTGCTTTAATTACCTATTTTAACGACCACTTTCTGACCACTGACTTTGTTTTCTCTCAATAACTCAAGTCCAGTGCCGACCCTTTCTTTGAAAGTTCCTTTGTCCTGAAGGAGCACTGGAGCAGGCTTGATGTATCCAGATCTGAGGAGCTCTGGTAGTATTTTAGGCATCAAGTTATTTTTCAGATTCTCGTCCTGTAAAATATTGTTATTGTGAGTGATTTAAGCAAAGTTTGCTCTTACCTGTTCATAGAAGAAAGTTCTAACGCCGATTATCTCAGTCGTCGATGGGAAAGGGTTTTTGTCTTCTGATAACTCGAAGTAGAGGGTTTGTTGCTGTTCATTTGTGACGGTATTCCCCTCCTTGATGGGCAGAAGGAGGGCGACTTTACCGCGAGAGCTGATCACCTTTGCAACGAGAGTTAGGGTTGCATCGGCCGTGATACAGTCCAGTGCGAGCAGGACTTTTCCGTCTCCGCCGATAGCGTTTGCAATGTCTTCTACAACAGAAGGGCTGCGGTAATCGAAGGTATCCGTAGCACCCAAGGAACGAAGGTACTCGTGGTGCTTCTTTGATGCAGTAGCAATGATTTTCTTGTACCCGGCAAGGCGCAGAAGCTGAACGGCATATAAACCGGCAGTGGACCCTGCACCGTAGACTAGAATAGGCGCAGAGGCGAGAGGAGGAGATTCGGGAGCCGGGAAAGACAATGGAATGGGAAGACCGAGCTGACTGAAAAGCGTGTAAAATGCAGTCACGAAATTGTCTGGAATTGTAGCCGCCTCCTCCAAGGGAAGCGAGTCTGGTATCTAGCAACCTTTTCAGCCAGATGATTATTGGAAATGGGCCTGGTTACATACCTTTGCAATCACCGTGCGTGGTTGGACACTATATTCCTGTAGGGCCTTGCGATTTGATGGACCAAACGTGAAAGCCGTAACCTATAGTATGAAAAGATTATATTGTCGTCCAGTGGAGATTGCCAAAGTGTACTTACCCTGTCACCAAGTTTCAGATCGTCAACGCCTGGACCTAATTTCTCGATGGTACCTGAAGCACTGAATCCCAATATGACAGGGTATTCTTGAACATAAAATCCTCGGTCGGTAACATAAGTGTCGAACGCGATCATAGCTCCATACGCGGCCTTGAGCAGCACCTGGCCTTCGCCAGGTGTTTCCGTAGGAACCTGTATCTCGTCGTATAGTCCTTTAGCAGTAGCAGCGATTGCTTTATGAGTGTTAAACATCCCCTTGCAAATGGTTCGGGTTGAGAATTGGCTCTGCTTATTTATAGCAAGAGCTCGACTCGATAGGAGCCATTTCAAACCATCTGATAATGATGGGAGGAATGTTCTTGACTAAGCCTTTGCTGACTGAGTGTAATGGTTCTGACGTCGTAATGTCGCAACTCTTGTCAGTAGTCGAGGGTGTAGTGATAACCCCATTCTGGTATTTGAATGAGGTCTTTAAAAAAAGATATTGAGTAGATCATGATGACATCGAGGAACAGAGGTTACGAAGACTGAAGCGCTGAGTGCTGACTAGTGACTACTTGAGGGGATGATGACACGAATTGAGACTGCTTTTTGTTCGTCTTCTTGCATCACAACAGCCAAAAAACTCTCCAACGTCCCATCTATAGACTACTCTGAAAAAAATTCTACATACAAAACAATGCCAGATCATTTGCAGTGGAAAATTTTAAGATTGAAATGAAGATGTCCATGTCTGGATTGAATAGATGACCTCAGGAGTTTTCAACATCACAGCTTATTCACTCACTTGGGAAGATAACTTTTAAGGGCAAAAAATTGAACCCCGCCCGGATTGAACGGACGACCTTGAGGAATCTCCAATGCAAACCATGGATATTATAAGGCCATCACAATAGCCATGATTTATCAAGTGCTGGAATCTCACGCTCTACCACTGAGCTAGGGGTCCTTGTTTTAATTTTTACATTGGAGTTTGATTGGCTGACGTCTGGTGAAGCAACTTCAATAAAATGATCAATGAAATAACTCATAAATTACTTAGGTTGAACCAATTTCAGATTCTTGCCCTTGGTCCCCAATAGGTCAAGGTCCAGGTTTTCAAACAACTAACACAGAGAATTAACAAAAAAACAAATTCTGAGAAAGAATAAGGGCTTCCATTAGGGCAATAATACAAAGGGGCCCTGAATGATGAATATTTGGAGAGCACTGGTGCTTACTGAGCAGGAAGCCTGACAAAGCCTAATACCTCTGACCAATTGAAGACAATGCCAGTAAATAAATGGCTACTTACTTGTTCATTGCAGCATCACACATGCTTGGGTCTTGACTTACTCATCTATTCCAGGCAGCATCCACACACACTGGCTGCCTACAGGCCTTGCCTCCAAGGGTAAGGATCATCCTTATAGCATTACTTACCTTCTGACAAGATGAGGTTTAAATTGAAATATTAGCTTTTTCAAATGAGATGAAAGAGTGGTTGCCCACGTACCTGCTGGCAGCACTACCATGGTATATAACTTTTGACTGCACCTTGTTGATGAAATTGAACAGAGTAGTGTCACGCATGACCAACACCTGGTTCTGGCTCCCGATTGTGAGTGAATATATGATTATATAATGGAGCTTACCTTCGTCCAAAAAATATACCACGAGAGCCTGGTGTAAAAATACAGGGGTCTTGATGCACTGCCAGTGGCTACGTCATGGTGAAATTAGAGTAGAATGTCAAGTTGAGGTAGGCCTCAGTGCTAAGGGGAGCCGAAGATTTAGAGGAGCACTGTTTTTGATGCTGCGAGCACTAAAACGTAATAGTTGTTTGTTGTTTGGATGGAGAATTCCTAGAACGGCAAAGTTAAGATAAGTAATGGGGTGGTTGGGGATTGGGGATGGGATTTGAGAGGACGCGGTGGACAATGGACATATTAAGAACGTGTTTCAAGCGCACGCAACGTGATATTTATGAGCCCATTTTTTGGGGGGTGCGTCATGAACGTGTTGCGCAGCTTGCAGAGCGCGTTACTTGGGGGTTTGCTGTTGAAGCCAGAGTTGAAGATGACGTCGGACGCGATGTCAAAAATAGGACATGAATGCTCTATTTTTAGACACGTATGTCGTGTTGTCCGGAGAAAGACCTTCGTTCAGATTCTGTGTTCCTCCGAAGAAAGGGACTATTAATTGTGAGGGTCAGGGAGAGTATATACGACATAGTATGTAAGGTAATAAATAATTTACAAATCTTGTCCATTGTAAAAGATAATTGGGAAGGAGTGGATACGTGCGGGAAGATAAAAATGTGATGGTATACTTCGAGATGCTAAGGAGATCGCCAATAATTCAAGGGACAGGGAGGCACGGTGAAGGGGGATGGATCTCCACGTTGCAGGAGAGTACGGGCTAAATTGAGAAAATCTAAAGCTTTTTGAGCCATCCTCTACATAATGACGCAGTCTTTGTCTTTCGCGCCCTTTGGATTGATGTCCTCCCCTTGCCCTCGATGAAGCACGGAGCCCGGCCCGCCAGGATGATGCTGGGGCTGGCCACGGAGACGTTGAGCGGCGCGTTTATCTCCCAGCTCTGCTGCGCGTTTGTAATAAGATATGGCTCTACACAGGTATGAATCAGCACTTGTCTCCCAAAAATAGTTATCGGGAGCATTGAAGAGTAAGAAAGGGGAGAAAAAACTCACTCTTCCATGTTAGCCGGTGTTCCAATCCCTACTTCCAGGAAGTACCCAACCGCATACATGGCTTTCGGAAGACCTGCTTCGGCAGCTTTCTGTGCCCATAAGAAAGCTTCCGTATCAGACTGGGGGAGTACGCCGGGGGACCCTACTAGATACCACGCTGTTAATGCAAAACAGGCGTCACGGTGGTTTTGTTGAGCCGCAATATTCTGAGCGCAGGCTTATGAGTTCAGACACGATATAGTATCAGATAAACCCACGTAGTAGTGTATTGATAGAGCGGGATCTTGGGGGCAACCCATTTTCCCATATTCATAACATTCGCCTAGCCGATATGCACTGGGCGCATACCCCAACTCGGCAGCCTGAGCCAACAACTCGACCGAATACTCGTAGTCGACAAAGAGTACGTTGTCGATACCTCGCTCATGAAGGAGAGCAAGTTCATGCAGGGCATGAGGGAACTCGGCGGTCGCATTTTCTGCGCTTCTCTTGAGCCATTTGACACCTTCCTTTGGACTTTTTGAAAGACCGAGTTCTCCATTGAGTTCGGCGATTCCTAGCCTATACATGGCACCAGGATGAGACGCTGCTGCGGCCTTGCGGAAGAATTGCAGGGCCTTGGGCGATTCGCGTCTACAACCCCAACCGTTCTCGCAACAGACCCCGGCTCGATAGGCGGCATCCGAATGGTTGTGCTTTGCTGCGAGGACAAAGAGCGGGTAGGCACGATCGAAATCCTGCTTGTTTTTAGGAGTTCCGATGCCGTTCGCATAGCAATCGGCCAAGAAATACTGACTTTGAGGGTGACCACGGTCAGCGAGACGTTTGAGGAGGGCCATTGCTTCGCGAATGAGATCTTCGCGCTTGTCGATAGCCTTTTCGACCTCCATGACATTTCCGGGGGTTTGGGCAGGAATAGGCATTGACTTGGAGGCGTCAATCATGAAGACGGCAAACTCGAATTGAAGATCAGGATCCTGAGTTTTCTTGGCATTTGCTCTGTAGAGTTCAAGCGTGCGTTCATGGGAGAGGAGAGAAGCCTGGTTGCCGGGACGAAGGTGGGAATGGTCGAGTATGGGACCTGGCGGGGGAGAGGGCGAACGGACAGACTGCGTGGCAACAGAGCCAGCGGTGCGATAGTCCCCTAGGGCGGGGTTGTAGGACGAGTTTGGATGGAGAGAGGCATTCTGTGCGCCGTTGAAGAAATCATCGTTGTCATCCTCCTGCTCTGGGGAATGGTCCTCGTAGAAATCGTGGTCCTGGGGCTCGAATTGGTGGGAGGGGAAGGAAGGGAGATCTCTGGCGGAGGGATTTGGAGGAGGAGCCATGGCCATTATGGTCACTGCAAGGACCAAGAATGATGTAACTCCGAGTGACCACCTGTCACAGGACACTCTCAACCATGCAGTCCTCGCTGCGTTCCCGTCCGTCCCAGGCACCCCGCAAGGCCCAGCGCCCTCCTGCCAAACTCGCAAAGCCCGGCGCTGCCCCCGTCCCCCGCGACAGGGGCAAGAACCGCATCGATGACAAGATCAAAAAGCGCATGTCTATGCGCTATGCAGAGATATCCAGCCCCACCCATCTCACTCCCGTCCCGCCCCTCCCTTTGTCTGCTGCCCACAGCTCAGATCCCTCGGCCCGCGAGACAGATGAAGACCTGAGGGACAGAACCAGCAATCGCGATGAAACCAGAGCTGCAAATGACGACAGGAAGCTGCTCAGCGCCGAGGACTTTGACCCAGCCGCCTGTGCGTTCCCCTTCTGTCTGCGTTATATTGTTCGTAATCTAAAGTCGTGCTAGACCTCAAGCTCAAGTTGGCCAACTCTACAGAAGCCGAGCTGAAATCTCTCCAGTCGTCCCTACGCAGTGCCATCGACGACACCTCTTCAGAGCTGCAGCGCAGCGTGTTCAAGAAGTCCGTTTATCATATTGCCTCTGTGCTAGCTTTTACTGAAACATCCATCACGCTAGTTATGCCGAGTTTGTTCTTATTTCAAAAGAAATCTCGGTCTTGGAAAACGAAATGCTCGAACTCAAAGATCTCTTGTCCGACTACAAGTCCATGCCTTCTACTCTTCACATTCCCGACCCAACTTCTACCTCTTCTTCTCTGCTGTCGACCTACAAGCGCTCGTCAGTTGCTGATCTCCGTGTGTTGTATTTTAACCAAATGCAATCGCTCCATGCATCCATCGAGGGCGCTTCCAAGTTCGTCCCAACCACCCCAGGTAGACACGTCGTCGGGGAGATGGAGAATGTCCTCAGTCTCAATGCTGCAACGTACAAGGTGACAGGAAAGGTTAAATTTGTTATTCTCGATGATGCTGTGTTGGTTGCCAAGAGAAGACGACGCAATGCTGGCGGGGGTGACGGCAATGGATCAACCGTAAACGAGGGAAAGCTTGTGGCAGAAAAATGCTGGCCATTGAATGAAATGCTCGTCCTTGACACGAAAGATTCCCCTAGTACGTCTTTCTCTCACTTTCTGCATTTGCTGTTTTGATTGAATTTAACGCCAGGCATGACCAACGTTTTTAAAATTCGCCATGGAAAGGAAACACATGTTTACAGAACCGAATCTCCTGCTGATAAAAAGGGTCTCTTGGCTCAATTTCGCCAAGTGGCAGAAGAGCTCTCTCAGAAGAAAAGAAAAGAGAGGGAGGGAGAACACGAACGACGAAAGAGCATGTGGCAAGGAGGATCGGCCGGTGGTGTAAGTCTCGAAAGTCTATTTGCCCTTGGAATCGTAATGAGTCTGATTTAATATTCTAGCGTTCTTCCCCAGCTCCTCCGGTGCCAGACTGGATGGCTGAGCTGGCCAAAAAGGGCGGGGAATTTCCTGGCCTCGGTACAGATGCCAAAGAGAAAGCAGAAAGGGACGCGCGGTGGGTTGGTGAATGGTCCGATGAACTAACAGTAGCCATTGCTCTCAAAGAATGGACCAAAGCTGTTGATCTCGTAGAACAAGGTTCGTCTTGTGGAAGTGCATATAACATCGTCTCATGTTCCTTATGTTTAGGACAAGCCAAGCTTCCCATCACACCTCCTCTCGCCGCAAAATTACCACACTTGACAAGCCAGTTAACAACGTCATTGCTTGCTTCTCTCGCCCTGCCTTCTAACCGAAAGTCGACTGTCATCTCCCTTATTTCCTTGCTTAATCGTCTCAAAGCTGGTGCTGCAGCTCGGAATACTTTCCTTGAAATGCGATCCCAGGTTATCCATGGGCTGATGCGAAAAATTCGCTTTGAGGGCC